GTCGTCCAGACATATAATGACTTGGGAGTCATCGTTAGCCAAGATCTAAAGAACGATGTTGCTACCTTGACGTGGTGGTCAGGCTTGCCTATCGTGATGAAGCAACCGAGCTATACTGGTATTATTATTATTTATTTATTTACTTGGACACATGAATATTGGTACAAGAGAGCGCCAATATATATGCGCCACACAAAACAATGAAAATTCGAGAGGAATACAAAGAGAGAAAAAAAGCTAAGGAGCGCAACAAAAAAGAGAGAACAATAACGAAGAGATTGGTGTAAGGTAATGTGCTAGTAATCAGGGAACGCAAAGGTACAATCGGAAGAAATCTTTCAGGTAAGGGAGACAGAACCACATTTTATGAAGAAAGTAAAAGAAGGTTACAGCAGGATCGCCACTGGCTTCTATTCTGAGCCATATCTGATAACGTCTCTAGCCACTGTGTAGCACCATCTCTCAGACCCCAACCAGGGAGTCGTGAAGGACCAACACAAGCCAGTCCTTTGCAGCTTTCTTTCATGCCACGACACCATGTCATGCACTGACCACCTCTCCGCTTCTTCCAACCAGTCCCAGAGTCGGCAAATAATGCACGACGTGGAATTCTCTGGGACGACATTCGGAGAACATGTCCAAGCCACCGAAGTCGGTGTTTCAAGATGGTGACACCAATTGAATTATCATCTCTGTGCCCGAACACACGATGCCGAACCTCTGCATTACTGACATGGTGTTGCCACTGAATGTCAGCAATCCTTCGGAGACAGCGATGATCGAACACAGAGAGTCGTCTAACGTCCTCAACTCGGAGAGGCCAGGTTTCACAAGCATAGAGCAAAACTGCTCTCACCGACGCGTTGTAGATCCGACCTTTTACAGCCAGACTAACATCACGAAGGCGCCAAAGATGGCCCAGATTGGCATAAGCCGCTCTGGCTTTCACTATACGTGCATTGATCTCATCACTCACACCCCCACCAGCACTTATGCAGCTACCCAGATACACGAACTTCTCAACTACGTCTATCTGCTCACCATCCAGGGTGAGTACAGGATTGGAATCCTGCCAGTCTTGTAGAAGTACTTTGCACTTCGAAGGTGCAAAGCACATACCATACCTACGGACACTGATTGCCAACTGATTAAGTGCGGATTGCATGCCTTGGGCATTATCGCACAGTAAGACAATATCGTCCGCATACTCAAGGTCGAGAAGTCTTTCTCCAGGCAACAGATCCACACCACCATTACTTACATTCATCAGAGCTGTTTCCAGAATGTCATCGATGGCAAAGTTGAAGAGGAATGGTGAGATTGGGCAACCCTGCCTAACCCCACTACTCGAATGGAACAATGGAGAGAGGTGGTTGTATGCCCTCACTCTGCCTGAGGTGTTTTTATATAGGGCTTTTAGGATGTTAATAAACTTCTCAGGCACACCCTTCTTCAATAGACAATCCCAGAGAACAGTCCTGTCCAACGAATCGAAGGCAGCCCTGATGTCAAGAAACACTACGATTGTTGGCCTTTGATAAGTATGGCGGTGTTCTAACATTTGGCGGAGGGTGAAGATATGATCAATACATCCTCGACCAGAACGAAACCCAGCCTGCTCCTCGCGAGTCAATCTTTCTCGGGTTTTGAACAACCTACGAAGTATGACGGAAGCCAATAGCTTGGACGCAATCGGAAGTAGACTTATCCCCCGATAGTTGTTACAGGAACGACGTGAACCCTTTTTAAAGATAGGGACAACTATCGACTCATTCCATGACGTTGGTACACTCTCTAGTTCCCAAACCTTTGTAAACAACGTCGTCAATTCCTTAGTCAAAAAGTCACCACCATCTTTAAAAAGAGCCGGAGGTAAGTCATCTGGGCCAGGTGATTTGTAACGCTTCAAGAGTTGGAGTTCCTTGCGGACTTCCTCCTCGTTTGGTGGATCAGTCGTCACCGGCCATGGAGGGCAGGACAGTCTGACCGATGTTGCCGGAGCAGCAGGCCAGTTGAACTGCCCTTCGAAAAATTCTGCCCACCGTCCAAGACGTCGATGGATGTTAGTGATTGGCATCCCATCATCCTCGCAGATTGTTTCACTCACACCAAACTTTCCAAAGACATAGCCAGCCCTATCTGTTGACCAACCTGCATAAGTGTGCGAACGTTGAAGGCAGCCAGTTTGAATGGCGCACGTGGTTTCAGAAAAACTGCCTCAGTACTCATATTCGATGGTAACATACAACTTTCAACCGGACAGTGACTCGAGAACGTTTAGATACAGTCGGATTTCCACCAAAGACGAGCCGCTGTATAAGTATAAAAGAGGGTGAATAATGTGGGAAATAATAATAATAATAATAATAATAATAATAATAACGACAATAATAGTAATAATAATAGTATTAATAATGACAATAATAGTAATGATAATTATTTGAATCGACTGATTGTTTTTCGGAGCGATAAAAGTAGTTGCCAAAGACACAGAGTTCATCGTTTGTGTGTGGGCTGTGATACTGCCCGGGTGCCCAAACCGAAGCAGGTGGTTTTCTTAGGGGGCCACTCCCCGAGCCTTTGACCTAAAGGTCTAACCCACAAGGCAGTGGAGCATCGTAAGGAGATGCAATCCCATGGTAGCCGGTGACCAAAGATTGGTTCATACGCCATTTGTTCCCGCAGGATACTGGAGCCTATGTGCACCATTGGTTTGTGATCCAGTTAAAGCGCCGGACATTCGGTTTTCGTCCCCTCATTTTCGTAAACAACACCCCCGCCACGAGAAGGCAATGAGTAGGACTTCCCTGGTAGAGGCTGTATACGCGTGGCCGTGTAAGAGTATTTCGAGAGGGAGGGCGGACTCACCCCACTCTCGGCCGTACCAGGGCATTCGGGGGCAACCGTTCCTCAAGGTCCTACCATGTCAGACAGGTCGGTTGAAGAGCGGTAAGACTAAAAGCAACAAACCCAAGGTCCGAAGGCGAAGTCGTACTGCTGACTGTACAGAGGTGTGACAGCAGTAAGGTGTTTCCTTCAGACAACCAGCATGACAGCGATGCTGCCTTCCCACAAGGAGGGGTGGGGTTAGAAAAGGTTGACCCTAAAAATGCACACCTCGCCTTATCCCACGGATATCCGTCTCCGGCGGTAAGGTCTCAATAAGTACGGAGCTAACACAAAAATTACCCATAACAAGGTCGTGTGTGACCGACCTCAAGCAGTTGTCCCTTGGGCACTGCGGTCACGCTTCCAGGTCACTAAGACCACTTCTAATCCGATTTCCTTTTCAGGTACCTCCAGAACAACCCTTCCACGGTGTGGGCAACCGGGAAGTGCTAACCACCCTCATACTTCTAACAGCACTCAAGACCACTGTATTCATAATCAACCTCCCTCTCCAATTCCTATTATTCCTCCTACATCGACTTTCAACTCTATATTTCCTCTCTCGGCTTCCACCTCAAGTGTCACCGTAGCCAACGATTCTAGTGCGCAAAACACTGTCCCAGGTCTAATGAAACCTCGCTCCAAACTACACATTGGAGCCTTCAACGCACGCACCCTATGTCAAATCGGTCAGCAGGCTTCCTTGGCTAAAACCCTAGAGTCTCTTTCCATTGATGTATGCTGTGTCTCCGAAACACGCATACAGGATTCCAGTGTGGTCATTCACTTGACCTCACCTCGGCAAGACGGAGAGCCAACAAGATACACCCTTCGTGTGTCTGGTGACCCGATGGCAAGTCCTCGTGGGCTGGCAGGTGTAGGCATAGCACTAAGCATGAGGGCCGAACAAGCACTGCTAGAGTGGATCCCCGTCAACAGTCGTCTATGTGCTGTTCGGCTGAACGGCTACGTAAGAACTCGGAAGGATAGGGACACACGTCGTTGCCTTTTTGTCGTTTCTGCCTACGCTCCCACTGATCTAAAGACTACTGTACACTGCCGTGCAATATCCGCCAAAGATTTTAGAACCTTATGGTCAATACGTAGGGCTTTTAGTCATGTCGACGCTAAGACGTTTTTGACTTTGTATACAGTGTTCGTACGTCCTAAACTTGAGTACTGCAGACAAGCGGCTAGCCCCTGCTTAAAAAAGGACAGTGAGCTTCTGGAAGAGGTTCAGAGAAAAGCAACTAAACTGATTCCCGGAATAGAGAAGCTTCCATACGATGCTCGACTGGCCAAGCTAAACCTTTTCCCGTTGTCTTATCGTAGAACTAGAGGCGACTTGATTACAGCTTTCAAATTGCTTAGTGATAAATTCGCACCTGATATGCCCTCATTTTTCTTGTCTCCCAAAACAGAGAATTTACGAGGACACTAAAAAAATTCAAAAGCCCAGAACAAATTACTTTTCAGCTGATCATCGACTTTCCCATCGAATCATCAACGAGTGGAATTCATTATCTCAGCAAGTGATTGAGGCTCCATCCGTCGACTCTTTCAAAAGAAAGTTGAATCAACTGAGAGACCACCATTGCCAGGACTAGCACAGGCCATCAAGCCTCCTGTCCTTCCCAAACTGAAACTGGTACTCAGTCACATATTTGTCCACGATTAAATCATCCAGCTCAGGGATCAAGACTACACCAATGTGTGGAAGCTACTTGTCTTAAAGAATAAACAGCAATAAACCTAGTACTGAGTCATGAGGTGCTTCAGTAAATTCTAGTTTTCAAAAGGGGGTTAGTAGTTAGTTCGTACCTTGTCAGTGGCCAACCAGGAAGTTTCCAATCCGCATAAACTGATCTCTGGAGATTCTGGTGCTTTTCAGAGTCAGTAGGAGCCAATTGTTCGTTACTGTATGACAGGCTTTACTGCTAACACTTATTCCTGTCGCTTTTTCGCAAGATAATAGGCACATAAAAACTAAAAGTTATAGAAAAACGGACATATTTTAAATCAAAGGCATATAATTTAACTGGCTTACACTAGGAAGCCACAATGATGTTGAGTATTGGATACAAAATAACATTTGCGTCCCAAGAGTTAGGATGTCTGTGTGTGTCGTTATTGCTCTAGATTTATATTTGTTGATTATTCCTTGTTTATTTGTTCCTCGCTCGAATCGACAGCACTCTAAATCCCACCAAAATATTTTCGACTCTGCAAAGGTAGGATTTTTACGGAAACACGGCACTCCGGCTCGTTTCTTAGTGTCTGAAGCTTCGTCCTTATTAATCTCATTTTGCTCTTCAACTTCTGTGGTAGGCGGTTGTTTGTCTTGACTTCTCTTTGGATGTCATTTAAGCATTCTTTTTTTCGGTATTATGCCGAGGGTAGCTGACTTGCTGAAACGCTTCCTCCAATCCCTTCCCTATTAAAATAAGTCAAAACGTTTTTATCATGGTGATAAAGTATGTAATGGAGTGTCTACATAATCAGAAACTACTCAATACTTGTAAATCGTGAAAAAACATTGTGACTGTATATTCTACCTGATAGCTCTTATGACTCATATTTAGGACTACAATTTATGGAAAAAGCAATCAAATTCAACGTACCGGTTGTTGGTTTTTTATATGGAATTCATTTATTCGCATTTTGCCATTTTAACTGATGACATGTGAATACAGAGGTCGACCTTTGTATTTACAAACTACGATAGGTATTTCGGTGGTAAAGCCGAAGATCACTGAGGTAAATTTACAACTTAAATCTGGAACGTTCATTTACATCACTGAACGTTCCAGGTTTAAGTTGTAAATTTACCTCAGTGATCTTCGGCTTTACCACCGAAATACCTATCTTAGTTTGTTTATTTAGATATTTGAACACAAATATTGGTACAAAGGGGCACCAAATACATATGCACCACACAAGTCACTTGGTTTGTGTGTGGGCTGTGGTACTGCCCGGGTGCCCAGACCGAAGTAGGTATCCTAGTAACAATTCAAGTTAATTCTCTATCGTCCTTTGTTTCCTTTAATTAGTTGAGTATGTTATCACCACCAAACATATATTTTTTTTCCTTCACCATCTCAGTAATAACCACACACTTGGAAACCAAGTGAGACCTTGTTGACGGCCGAATATGACACAGCTGAAGTCTAAACGATTTGATCCTTATTTTCATTTGCAAATAATGGGTTGGATTTGAGCTTGTACATAGATCACTTTATTATACGTCTATTCGCTAGCCCCCGAATGCCCTGGTACGGCCGAGAGTGGGGTGAGTCTGCCCTCCCTCTCGAAATACTCTCACACGGCCACGCGTATACAGCCTCTACCAGGGAAGTCCTACTCATTGCCTTCTCGTGGCGGGGGTGTTGTTTACGAAAATGAGGGGACGAAAACCGAATGTCCGGCGCTTTAACTGGATCACAAACCAATGGTGCACATGGGCTCCAGTATCCTGCGGGAACAAATGGCGTATGAACCAATCTTTGGTCACCGGCTACCATGGGATTGCATCTCCTTACGATGCTCCACTGCCTTGTGGGTTAGACCTTTAGGTCAAAGGCTCGGGGAGTGGCCCCCTAAGAAAACCACCTGCTTCGGTTTGGGCACCCGGGCAGTATCACAGCCCACACACAAACGATGAACTCTGTGTCTTTGGCAACTACTTTTATCGCTCCGAAAAACAATCAGTCGATTCAAATAATTATCATTACTATTATTGTCATTATTAATACTATTATTATTACTATTATTGTCGTTATTATTATTATTATTATTATTATTATTATTATTATTATTATTTCCCACATTATTCACCCTCTTTTATACTTATACAGCGGCTCGTCTTTGGTGGAAATCCGACTGTATCTAAACGTTCTCGAGTCACTGTCCGGTTGAAAATTGTATGTTACCACCGAATACGAGTACTGAAGCAGTTTTTCTGAAACCACGTGCACCATTCAAACTGGCTGCCTTCAACGTTCGCACATTTATGCAGGTCGGACAACAGATAGGGCTGGCTATGTCTTTGGAAAGTCTTAATATCGATGTTTGTTGTCTATCCGAGACCCGTATTCAAGACTCTGGCGAAGTACTACAAATTCGATCTCCATCTGTCGCTTCGAAAAGCTTGTTTTACGTGCGCTTATCCGGGGACCCTGTGGCATCTTCGTCTGGTCTTGCTGGCGTTGGTGTCGCACTAAGCGCTAGAGCTGAGGCAGCACTAGTCGATTGGATCCCCATTAACAGTCGGTTATGTGCTGTTAGATTAGAAAGTTCCATCAAAGTGAGAAGAAATCGGCGTGAGAAACGATGTCTTTTCGTCATCTCCGCCTATGCCCCGACAGATTGCAGCCCGGATGCAATCAAGGATGAGTTTTACCACCAGTTATCTGTTCTTCTCCAGAAAGTGCGTTCGACAGATATTGTAGTACTAGCCGGAGACTTGAATGCTCAGGTCGGGCGTCTAGGCACAGAAGAGAGTCGTTTAGGTGGCCGATGGGGACTCGTTGGTCGCAGGTCAGATAACGGGGACCGTCTACTGCAACTTTGCACAGACCACAACCTGTTTCTGGCTAGCACTAACTTTCGGCACAGTCATCGCCGATGTGCCACCTGGCGTCCTCCCTCTGCATCTCAAGCCTGGACTCAGATTGATCACATCGCGATCAGCTACCGCTGGCGTGGTTGTGTACAAGACTGCCGCTCCTTTTGGAGTACCTATCTGGACTCTGACCATGCCTTGGTCTGCGCCAATCTTGCCTTACTTTTCAGTGGACAACGAAGTGATCGCCATCAACGGATTGATGTTAGCAAGCTGGTTGCAACTTCTGTTGCAAGTAAGTATCGAACCGAGCTAGCCTCTAGGCTAGCTACCACTCCACCGAAAAGTATAGATGAGCATTGGTTGCAATTGCATGACGCCATGAAAATGGCGGGAACAGTCAGTTGTGGGTTTGCGAAACGTCCCGCTTTTAAGCACTGGGTTTCTTCTGGTTCCTTACAACTCATTGAAGCCCGTCGGTCTACTCCGGGTGACCGTGAGTTTGACCATAAACGAAGGATGTTACGTAAGGAAATTGGGCAAAGCTTGCGTAAGGACCGAGAAGCCTGGTGGTCGATGCGTGCTAATGAGCTGGAAGCAGCAGCTGCATCTGGTAACTACCGGAAGCTCTTCCAGCTCATCCGAGCCACTGGCAGCAAGAAGTCTGGTGTGAGTGAAACAATCTGCGAGGATGATGGGATGCCAATCACTAACATCCATCGACGTCTTGGACGATGGGCAGAATTTTTCGAAGGGCAGTTCAACTGGCCTGCTGCTCCGGCAACATCGGTCAGACTGTCCTGCCCTCCATGGCCGGTGACGACTGATCCACCAAACGAGGAGGAAGTCCGCAAGGAACTCCAACTCTTGAAGCGTTACAAATCACCTGGCCCAGATGACTTACCTCCGGCTCTTTTTAAAGATGGTGGTGACTTTTTGACTAAGGAATTGACGACGTTGTTTACAAAGGTTTGGGAACTAGAGAGTGTACCAACGTCATGGAATGAGTCGATAGTTGTCCCTATCTTTAAAAAGGGTTCACGTCGTTCCTGTAACAACTATCGGGGGATAAGTCTACTTCCGATTGCGTCCAAGCTATTGGCTTCCGTCATACTTCGTAGGTTGTTCAAAACCCGAGAAAGATTGACTCGCGAGGAGCAGGCTGGGTTTCGTTCTGGTCGAGGATGTATTGATCATATCTTCACCCTCCGCCAAATGTTAGAACACCGCCATACTTATCAAAGGCCAACAATCGTAGTGTTTCTTGACATCAGGGCTGCCTTCGATTCGTTGGACAGGACTGTTCTCTGGGATTGTCTATTGAAGAAGGGTGTGCCTGAGAAGTTTATTAACATCCTAAAAGCCCTATATAAAAACACCTCAGGCAGAGTGAGGGCATACAACCACCTCTCTCCATTGTTCCATTCGAGCAGTGGGGTTAGGCAGGGTTGCCCAATCTCACCATTCCTCTTCAACTTTGCCATCGATGACATTCTGGAAACAGCTCTGATGAATGTAAGTAATGGTGGTGTGGATCTGTTGCCTGGAGAAAGACTTCTCGACCTTGAGTATGCGGACGATATTGTCTTACTGTGCGATAATGCCCAAGGCATGCAATCCGCACTTAATCAGTTGGCAATCAGTGTCCGTAGGTATGGTATGTGCTTTGCACCTTCGAAGTGCAAAGTACTTCTACAAGACTGGCAGGATTCTAATCCTGTACTCACCCTGGATGGTGAGCAGATAGACGTAGTTGAGAAGTTCGTGTATCTGGGTAGCTGCATAAGTGCTGGTGGGGGTGTGAGTGATGAGATCAATGCACGTATAGTGAAAGCCAGAGCGGCTTATGCCAATCTGGGCCACCTTTGGCGCCTTCGTGATGTTAGTCTGGCTGTAAAAGGTCGGATCTACAACGCGTCGGTGAGAGCAGTTTTGCTCTATGCTTGTGAAACCTGGCCTCTCCGAGTTGAGGACGTTAGACGACTCTCTGTGTTCGATCATCGCTGTCTCCGAAGGATTGCTGACATTCAGTGGCAACACCATGTCAGTAATGCAGAGGTTCGGCATCGTGTGTTCGGGCACAGAGATGATAATTCAATTGGTGTCACCATCTTGAAACACCGACTTCGGTGGCTTGGACATGTTCTCCGAATGTCGTCCCAGAGAATTCCACGTCGTGCATTATTTGCCGACTCTGGGACTGGTTGGAAGAAGCGGAGAGGTGGTCAGTGCATGACATGGTGTCGTGGCATGAAAGAAAGCTGCAAAGGACTGGCTTGTGTTGGTCCTTCACGACTCCCTGGTTGGGGTCTGAGAGATGGTGCTACACAGTGGCTAGAGACGTTATCAGATATGGCTCAGAATAGAAGCCAGTGGCGATCCTGCTGTAACCTTCTTTTACTTTCTTCATAAAAAGTGGTTCTGTCTCCCTTACCTGAAAGATTTCTTCCGATTGTACCTTTGCGTTCCCTGATTACTAGCACATTACCTTACACCAATCTCTTCGTTATTGTTCTCTCTTTTTTTGTTGCGCTCCTTAGCTTTTTTTTTCTTTCTTTGTATTCCTCTCGAATTTTCATTGTTTTGTGTGGCGCATATATATTGGCGCTCTCTTGTACCAATATTCATGTGTCCAAGTAAATAAATAAATAAATAACCCGTTTGTTGGTACGTTTTTTTTTACCAGAATATATCGCCGATTGAGTCAGCTGTCACCATCAAACTCATATAGCATCTACCAATTCAGTACCTACAGACGAAAAGTCGACATATTGACGGTAATAAGTGGTCGTGAGTGTCTACGATGATAATCTACATTTTCTTCCTCACCTTATTGTGTGGAAAAGTGAGCGCATGGGATTCTGGAGAACTCCAAATGTTTGATTTAGTTGAAGAAGTCAAGGAAAATTTTTATGACTTTCTCGGGTTTCTCATGTAAAGTTGAGTTTTATTTAATTACAATATACGCACAGACTGCTGATATTTCTGAAATAAAACGTGCTTACCGAAAGTTATCTTCTAAACTTCATCCAGACAAGAATCCAGATGATCCTACTGCAGAACAGAAGTTCCGAAGGCTTGTAGGTATTTACGAAGTCCTTAAGAATTCGGAATTACGTGCCAAGTAAGTATATCGGAGAACATTCCCTTATTCTTTTTAGATATGATGAAGTGCTGATAAATGGTTTGCCCAGTTGGCGAACCCCAGTATTTTACTTTAGGAAGCTCCGCAAAATGTCTAACTACGAACTGTTTGGGTTGTTCTTTGGAATGGCTACCATAATTCATTATGCTACACTTTGGGGCTCAGTTTTTGAGAAGCGGCTTACTTTGGTATGAGAGTTCACTTCTATTCATACTGTTTAGGAAGATCAACTTAGCACTTCTTTAAAACGTCACAAAGCTCGTGATCGGAAGTTGGAACTAATAAACCAAGAGATATCTGACGAACTTCAAAAGATTCCCGCTCCCGGATGGTTTGATTTGCTTCCGTTCGCTATTGTCAGATGGATATATGCTATCATCACATTTATTCCTGTTTTCACTGAATTTATTAACGGAAAGATTTCTGAGAAATTACAAGAACGTCGTGAACTCAGGGAAGAAGTTCGAAGTAGGCTCTTACAAATTATTTATCTGCTTATGGGTAAATTTTGTAAAAATGGGTCTTCACCATATGATTTACTGGTCAGTTTAATTGCATTAACGTGGCACATTAGTTGGATATTCCATTTAAGATTCTATATAGTGAGCGAAATTAAATTGTGGTTTCTAAATATCATTCTTAGTCATCTTGGTAAATGTTGAGCAAAAGTAGCAAGACATGAAGATAGATGTATCTGAACTAGTGCCTTCATATCTCGTATCCAATTGGAAGTTTATAGAACTAACATATTTCGTCAGTTGAACGCGTCGTTTGCCGTACAGCTTAATAATACCGTTCGTTGTTAATTCCAGTGTCCAACTTGTTAGTTTTAAATAGTTCAGTAGGACTGAGTAGCTTACTAAAACCCACTGAAGAAAATATATATGTTAGGTAAATCTGACGACAAATTTTTCGTCATGATTTATCATTAAACTCATTTCTAAAAGTTGAGTATTTTGACCTCTAAACCATCGTTTCTATCATTTCTAAGGAATTAAATAAACTCGTTCACGAGTCCTTGGGAATGAGCCACACTTGAAAGCTAGTGATACTACCCGGTTACCTAAACCGAAATAGGTGGGACGTGGTTCAAGACCAGAACTGTGGCTGAAAGTCGAACACCTTGACCACTGAACCATTGCTTCTATGGCATAATGTTTCTCAAGAAAACCAATATATTAATTCTCCTGACTCCCTTTTGTTATTTTAATGTGTATCAACTTAAACCGAAAAAAGATCGCAGTTTTGTGTTTATCTATCTAGAGCTAGTTATATACTTCGTTTATGTCTTATCTATCTACATTTTAGTTCTTCAAGAAAAAAAGAAAAACTTAAGGCTGATAAACAAGAACGCAAACGTCGCTTAGTACACGAACAAACAATCCTTAGAGAAGTTGTAAAGGAGGCTGGCCAATCAACTTTGAATTCAGTCCTTACAGACATCCCTAATATTGAGACTGAGAGTTCTGATGAAGATTCAAAAAGTGAAGCAAAAGATCCTGTTTATCGAGAAGTACGTCTATCTTTACTTCGTTTATAACATTTAGCAATAATTTCAAGTTTTCGATTTTGCAGCTGCATAGCGTACATTCAACGGCTTCACCCTAACGAAACTAGTTTCGATTTTCGAGAAATGATTTCGTTATATGCTGATGTATTAAACGCACAACTTTTAGTGTCCTTGTATTGATAATCGCGTTTCCAGTTGCATCTCTATTTTACCCAAGTGGGTAAGCTCATTTCAATAACATTCCACGAGTGGTTGGGTATAAATAGTTGACAGTATAATGATTGATGTAATAAAACAAGACTGATAAAAGGTTTTATCACCGTCACATTTCTCACTATTAACAAGACTTGGTTGTTAAAATGACGGGTGAAATAGCACCCGATTGGTACCCTAAAACGATATAATCCAGCCTCGTGGTAAATAATTAGGATATCGGATTTTTATATCTTCATTAGTATTCCGTGGACTGCGTGGGTTACAAAAAGACTAATAATAAGTATCACTTAGTTTCATGTAATAAACACCTTGATATACAGATGTATGAGAAAGAATGAACATAATCAGAAGTTATAGAAAATATTACCAATGGGCACCGAATGATACCTGGTAATCACTATATAAGCAGCAAACTGAATATTTCAGATTTCATACCATATCTCTTTCTGTTGGGATAGACTTGTAACTTCCTAAAGACATTGGACTATGGACTGGTAAATAAAAACAATCAACTCGGCAAAAAGTGGTCTTCCTAACTAATTTTCAACATTTTGTGACAGTCAAAGCGAAAATAGAGACGACAGTAATGCAAACATGCAATAGGACTATGTCGCATTAATATCACTAGAATAATGATTCTCCTAGCACATCTCGACGTTAGAAATAGATTAGCATTAATATGATCCTTATTAAGTTTGTGGCACTTCATACCGTACCTCCACGTAACCCATTAGCTGTGCCATTCCTATCTGGCCAAGTATTCTGTGACCTTGTACGACTGTGAGTATCTCTCTCCTAACTTGTTGCGTTGTCTATTTTCGTTACACAATATGTCTCATATTTGCGAGTTGGTTAGTAATTGCTCCTCCACACCGCGTATGCTTATTCACTCTCGGTTTGTCTGTTCATATAATGCCTGAAATATACGTATCCAGAAGTCATCTGTAATTTGACTTTTAATATACCGTGATCCCAAACTTGTAAAGTCCACAGGCTATGTGCGAAGTCAATAGAGATATATTTCTCACTAGCATCATCAGCCAGTGGATTCAACTCGTGATTATAAACTATATCACCTGAAGTATTCAACCACTGATTTCTCATAAACATCAGACGAAAATCTTATACTTTTCAAAATACTTCAAAGCTAAAGTTATACACATAACGGATTCATGCTATCTTAATTTGAACTCCATGACGCTTCTACTATCTTACTACAATTCTAACTGGCACCACGTGTTATGGCGAGAGTGTAGTTATGTACGTGCATAGTTATCTCACCTGACCTACTTTTAATGTTTCTGTGAACTTCATTTCATCTGTAATTTTGACTTCAGCATAACTCACTTGTTGATTCAACTTAATTAAATATATACTTTTGAGGATACTTGTGAATGGTGCCCAACAGAAGATAGTTGATTAGTAATCTAATTGCTCCACCTTAATAGAAGTTAACTGAATACGGTGAGCAATTTTCTCAAGAATTTTAATAAGCGATCTAACTGAACATTGAAGCATATCGTTTGGTTGGAGAATTGTTTTCTGAAATAATAAACTCGATGACCATAAGACCGTCTATTATCATTGATAATACTCGATGTCGGTAGGTTATGGATTATACAAAACATTTTCTTCTGTAAACTAATGTCCAGCCATTGTATTTAGAATGTCGTTCTGTGGAACTAACTATTCTCAAAAATTCCAACCAAGGGTTACATTTAACCAGTTTAATTTCTCTATATTTGATTAATCGTTCACTCGAGTAACTTTAACAATGATTGTGAATTCAGTGTGATATAAGGATTTTTTTATGTCTGATTACTCTCTGCTTACTATTCTACTATTATTTGTAGATTTCTTTGTCGAATGTTTAGATAATTTTAATTTAAGATACAGAACAATGGTTTTCAATATTATATTTATCACTAAAGGTTAGTTTACCATAAATATGATTCTGCTTTATTTTTCAGTGGTCAGAAGTGGATAGAGACAATTTAGTTCGTGCGGTAATTCGATATCCTGGAGGTGTTCCTGGGAGGTGGCAACGTATCTCAGAATCTCTTGGTCGTAGTGTTCCTGATGTTATTCGTAAAGCGAAATGTATGAGTAAAGAATTAATGTCTATTTCTCAAAAAAGTAGGTACTATATGTCTACTTATCAAGATTTCAACAAGTTTTCACTTGTAATAGTAATAATAGTGCTATTGCCTTTTTGTTTTTAATACAGTGATGGAATTTACACAAATTGTTTTATGAGTGAATTAACCAAGTTGATGTTCTTGTTCCTTTTGTTTAATTAATCATTATAGTAATTGACATCATAATTCTGCACAGTGGATTTTGTATTTTAGTTATTATCGTATCATTCTTAACTAATAGTCACTTTCTATTTGAGCATCATGTGAAAAAGACATGTGAAACTGATTGCTGTGTCAGATTTAGTTTTTTTTTTAAATCAATTATTATTTGACTAACTATGATAATTAGGAGTATTTTAACTATAATACAAACTATGAATCCCAGAAATAACGCAATTAGATCAAGATGTAGTAGATAAACACGAACGAATGTACTGTATTTGGAATTCGAAATCAAGCATTCAACAAATACAAAGGAATCATTAGTTCATACAAACACCACATCCCCCACAGCTCAAATGAGAATCCTAATTTCTGCAATCATTTGTATCTCTTCTCCTTAGATTCATCGTGTCTGTCTGACCGTGTATTGGATGTAGACTCTGTATGATCTAGAATATGCTCATTAATATTCAAATTAACAGCCGAAATTGGGACGGATTCAGCTGGGTCCTGGAATTGTATACAATCATCATGTCGGTTTTGTACTGAAACCACTGATATCTAGAATTTGAACTATAGATATTCCAACATTATCCTCCCCCACGAAATAATGTTGGATCTTCATATCCCTAAGTTATGAATGGTGTGACTTCATTTAAAACATATTTCTCACACTGACTGGGGTATTCATTAGAAGTGACTTCAGGATAAGAAGAAGCAACAGTTAATATGAAATCATCAGAATTATAATCAAGATCGAGTTCATTTAGTACTCGTGCTTCGCACTGATCAAGTTTCCCACAGGAAGCGAATGCATTATGAGAATAAATAATATATGATATGATATCAGGATCTAATTCTTTTGAAATATTTTCCTCAAATTTATTAAGAATGTCATCGGAGAGCGCCATTTGTTCCCTCAGGGTACTGGAGCCCATGTGCACCATTTGTTTGAAATCAGGGTTTTCCAACTCCCCTGGGCGGACTCTCCATGTCTACCAACCCGGTTAAAGCGCCGTCCCTCTCATTTTCGTAAACAACACCCCCGCCACGAGAAGGCAGTGAGTAGGACTTCCCTGGCAGAGGCTATATACGCGTGGCCATGTGAGAGCATTGGGAAAGGGAGAGTGGACTCTCCCCACTCTCAGCCGTACCAGGGCATTTGGGGCACAAAGACAGTTTAGTAAAGAAATTAATTTCAATGGTCATTGAAAACACTTTTCCTCACTTAATTATTCTTGTTTTCGAAATTGTTTGCCTATAAAACCCTATTACAAAGTAAGGGTTTACATTTTTGATCGAAGTATAAGTAATCAAGCACTACTTATATTAATTTCATGGCTAATATTTAAACTCAATTCTGAAAGATAATGTACCATATTTCTAAAGTCCGTGTATAACTTTATACAATAACAGTTAAGACTACTAAAATCAACAGTTTGTTCGTTGGTTAAAATCTTTTCACTGCCAAGTGTTCTGAATTTCATTTTCGTTTTGGGCTCTGTTTGCATGACTGTTGTAACGAAATATTGTTATTAAAAGATACATAATAGTGTGCCCGAAATCATGTTTAGTTGTGAAACGATAGTCAAGATTAACTTATATAAGAAAACTGTCGGTATTCGAGCACTTATGCTGCTTTTTGCATTTTGAGTCGAAATTATTCCATCCATTTGCTGAAAACTACAGAAAAGAAATTAGTGCATAATATGACAAACATATGAGACCTTTGTTTAATCACAATCAAGCCAAAACCGTTTCATGTACTGTTATTTTTCTCTTTACGTTAGTAACATTATTTATGTAACTGGTAACTTAATAAACATAATTTAATCATCATCTAGGCTTTGAGAAGTTAGAGACACTTGTTAACTACCTAAACCAGTACATCATTCTGTCAGATATATGTAGCGGGTCCTATTATATTAGTTTTTATGATGAGGTTTGAATATAGCACCTGTCACTCCAAGCATCAAAAAATATATTTACCAGGTCACTTGAGTAGTTATATTCACTAGCATAATCATTATTTTATACTTAACTCTTAATCATAGATTTATGGAAAGTATGATTTCATGTTCCATCTAAATTGCGAGCTACAATTATTATTTGAGCACAAACATTTGTACAAGAAGCCACCAAATATTAATACAACACACAATAAAAATGAAGTTGTGAAGAGAAAGGAAAGTGAGTATAGTAAAAAAGAACAGTAAATAGAAACTAGTGGATGGAAGTTAAATTGTAGAGTCGGTTGCTATGTTAAGCCCATATAACTTATTCTAGCTGCTGGATAGGCCTATTTATCCATTCTCCTTGAGTCATGTTTGAACTTTGTTAATTATTCACTTATCAACTCTGACTTTTATATGAGCGTATGTATGTCTACACTTCTTATCACATTCATCACATGTCTGTAACTTATTTTTATCTGGCTCTAAATATTGATTAACGCTTGGTCAAATGGAGTTGGCTCACACTCCTCCACCACCCGCCATTTCGCTTCGCTCTCTTCTATTAGCTCCATCCCTCTCATTTCCTGTCCACATCAGTGAGTGTACAAACTACAAGTATTCAATATTCCATTCTCGTATTTGAATTATTTAATTCCGTTATTCACCAGCGCGATTTAAGTCGATGAAATATATGAGGATAGCCGACATGTGTATTTCGACGACAATCAGCGTACAGTCCAGTTGGAGTCAGATAAAGGGCCACTAAATAATAATGATAATAATGGGAGAAGCAGTACAGTCAGGAAAAATACAAGAAAGAATTCTTCCAATTCAAAAAGTTACTCTCTTCTATATGAAAAATAAATCTGCAGCAGGATCTCCATTGATTTCTAATCTGAGCCATTTCTGATGATGTCTCGAGCCTTTGTGTTGCACCATCTCGAAGACTCCAACTAGGGAGTCCTGAAGGACCGACAAAAGCCAGCCCTGTACAGTTTTCTTTCATACCACGACACCATGTTATACACTGACCACCTCTCCGCTTCTTCCAACCAGTCCCGACGTCGGCAAATAATCCATGACGTGGGATTCTCTGTGACGACATTCGTAGAACATGTCCAAGCCACCGACGTCGGTGTTTCAAGATGGTGACACCAATTGGATTATCATCTCTGTGCCCGAACACACGATGCCGAGCCTCTGCATTACTGACATGGTGTTGCCACTGAATGTCAGCAATCCTTCGGAGACAGCGATGATCGAACACAGAGAGTCGTCTAACGTCCTCAACTCGGAGAGGCCAGGTTTCACAAGCATAGAACAAAACTGCTCTCACCGACGCGTTGTAGATCCGAACTTTTACAGTCAGACTAACATCACGAAGGCGCCATAGATAGTCCAGATTGGTATAAGCCACTCTGGCTTTCACTGTACTTGCATTGATCACATCACTCACACCCCCACCAGCACTTATGCAGCTACCCAGATACACGAACTTCTCAACTACGTCTATCTGCTCACCATCCAGGGTGAGTACAGGATTGGAATGCTGCCAGTCTTGTAGAAGTACTTTGCACTTCGAAGGCGCAAAGCACATACCATACCTACGGACACTGATTGCCAACTGATTAAGTGCGGATTGCATGCCTTGGGCATTATCGCACAGTAAGACAATATCGTCCGCATACTCAAGGTCGAGAAGTCTTTCTCCAGGCAACAGATCCACACCACCATTACTTACATTCATCAGAGCTGTTTCCAGAATGTCATGCCCCCGAATGCCCTGGTACGGCCGAGAGTGGGGTGAGTCCGCTCTCCCTCTCGAAATACTCTCACACGGCCACGCGTATACAGCCTCTGCCAGGGAAGTCCTACTCATTGCCTTCTCGTGGCGGGGTGTTGTTTACGAAAATGAGAGGACGAAAAGCGAATGTCCGGCGCTTTAACCGGATCACAAACCAATGGTGCACATGGGCTCCAGTATCCTGCGGGAACAAATGGCGTATGAACCAATCTTTGGTCACCGGCTACCATGGGATTGCATCTCCTTACGATGCTCCACTGCCTTGTGGGTTAGACCTTTAGGTCAAAGGCTCGGGGAGTGGCCCCCTAAGAAAACCACCTGCTTCGGTTTGGGCACCCGGGCAGTATCACAGCCCACACACAAACGATGAACTCTATGTCTTTGGCAACTACTTTTATCGCTCCGAAAAACAATCAGTCGATTCAAATAATTATCATTACTATTATTGTCATTATTAATACTATTATTATTACTATTATTGTCGTTATTATTATTATTATTATTTCCCACATTATTCACCCTCTTTTATACTTATACAGCGGCTCGTCTTTGGTGGAAATCCGACTGTATCTAAACGTTCTCGAGTCACTGTCCGGTTGAAAGTTGTATGTTACCACCGAATATGAGTACTGAAGCAGTTTTTCTGAAACCACGTGCACCATTCAAACTGGCTGCCTTCAACGTTCGCACACTTATGCAGGTTGGTCAACAGATAGGGCTGGCTATGTCTTTGGAAAGTCTTAATATTGATGTTTGTTGTCTATCCGAGACCCGTATTCAAGACTCTGGCGAAGTACTACAAATTCGATCTCCATCTGTCGCTTCAAAAAGCTTGTTTTACGTGCGCTTATCCGGGGACCCTGTGGCATCTTCGTCTGGTCTTGCTGGCGTTGGTGTCGCACTAAGCGCTAGAGCTGAGGCAGCACTAGTCGATTGGATCCCCATTAACAGTCGGTTATGTGCTGTTAGATTAGAAAGTTCCATCAAAGTGAGAAGAAATCGGCGTGAGAAACGATGTCTTTTCGTCATCTCCGCCTATGCCCCGACAGATTGCAGCCCGGATGCAATCAAGGATGA